ACAAAGACGCCAAGATGCTAATAGTGATATATCTAATACAGGCATATGGGTTATTTTAATTTCTTCCTTGACCTTTTTTTAATTTCCAAATTTTTTATAATACACATTTGTGACTTTTGAAATTATTAAAAATTTTTTCTTTAAAAAAAAAAGGCTTTCAAACTCTTTCAGGTAGTCAAGAGGTATGTGCTGGGTAAAACAATGTAAAACAATTTTAACATATGAGTTCCACTTCGTTCTGCCATTACCTGACTCTGGGACCTCACTTAGTTTCTCTGGACCTCAAATTTCATAACTTTTTTTTTTTTTTTTCAGAAAAGGAAGACTGGGGAGGCTTGAGATGGGAGTATAAACTGGTATAGCCGTTTTTATAGAGGAAATGCTAAATATCCATGAAATTTTGAATGCACATACTCTTTGACCTAACTATTCCAAAACTAAAAATTATCTTCCAGATAAATTTGCACAAATACGAAAACCTGTGCATATTAACATCCCCTGCAGCACTGTCATAGCAACAAACTGGAAACAAGACAAATGCCTATCAAATAGCGGAGTAGAACAAAGGAAATGAGACATCCAAGATGTATTACATGGAATAAGCTAATGTGTAGAATATTGTTGTTTATCTTTAAAAAATTAAACATTTCATTTTTAATTTTATCACACACACACACACACACACACACACACACACACACACACACACACACTTCTGGAAGGATGCATGAGAAACCTCTATCAGTAGTGACCTCTAGAGAATAGGAACCCGGAGTGGGAAGAACCTAGAGCTTTCGCCTTTGATCTTACACTTTTCCATTCCAATTTGGTATTTTTTTAACCATGAAAACATTAGTTTTATAATTTAAAACTGACAGAGAGTACTGTGGAACTACATGATTTCTAAGATTCCTTCCAGCTCTAAAACTCTAAGTCCCTAAGGTAAATTATCATCAACATGGCTGATTTGATCATGCAAAATATTAAATTTATTTACCACAATATAAAATTTAAGAAATCTCTTATTTGACATTCAATTCCCTTTCTGCTCTGCTAGAGTCCAAAATTGATAGAGGACAACCGTATAATATTTTTTAATTGACCTGTTTTTCTAAAGAAGGCACTAGGGAGATGTTGGGTTTTGATTAACAGAAAATGTCAACTACAAAACAACAGGTGAATTTCATTTATAACAAGTTTAAACTTTCTGATTGCATGTAACAGTGTCATGCACCCGGAGATTTTATTAGCAAATGCAGGTACATATTTTATAAGTCCAAAGTCAATACTCAACAGGGTAATGTGGTGTGAGTTGGGGCAAGGGCTAGGAATAAGATCATAAACAATCCAAAATTACAGTTAAAACAAAGATATAGTGTAAACTGTAGTTACTATTGCATTTAATATCTAGAAACATGTATTAGTCTATGGCCAAAAATAACACAAGTTTCATAGTTTGGAAACATTAAACATCATATAAACTGTTTGATAAAAAAACTACCTAAAGGGTAACATGAGAAAATAATTATGGTTGTTTAGTGTCTTAGTTGAAATCTTGATATTCTTTTGAAACATTAAAAAAGGACCAAGGACTTCTACTACTATGTAGATGTACATCTACCTCTACATTCTATAGTTGATCCTTGAACAACAGATCCTTGAACTGTGTGGGTCCACTTATAGGCAGATTTTTTTCAATAAATACGTACAATATTGTCAATGTATTTCCTCTTCCTTATGATTTTCTTAATAACATTTTATTTTCTCTAGCTCATTTTATTGCAAGAATACAGTATACAATACATGTAACATATAAAATGTGTTAATCAACTATGTTATTGGTAAGGCTTCCAGTCAACAGTAGGCTATTGGTAGTTAAGTTTCGGGGGAATCAAGGGTATGGATGGATTTTTGACTGCTCAGGGGATCAGTGCCCCAACCTCCATGTTGTTCAAAAGTCAACTGTACCGTGATGTACAATTTGAAGCAGACTAACCCTCCTACCAAAATAACTAGAAAAGCTGGATAAGATACCTGAGATTTTATTTAAAGGCATCAGATAGCTACCCAGGCAACCAGGAGTTTGAGGAGACATGATTCCCGAGAGAAGGGAAAATTAGAGAAGTGAGCCCTGCATTCTCTGTTGCTTTTCCCCTCCAAGGGCTCGCTGATTCTTATGCCACACAGAATGAATATGCTTAGAAGATGGTGCAAGGCTGATCAGCTAAGCAAAGCTCAGGAGCCTCACAGTGCTAGAAAGATAAAAGTGGAGTTCAGGTCCCACCAAGGAGGCGGCCTGGTAAACCTAGGCTATCTGTTTTATTTTCTGGATGCTCAATCTTGGTTAAGAAGGTCTCCCCAGCCCCTAGCATGTAACCACAGTCTCTTTATTTTCTGCTAAGCTGAATTTATTTTCTATATGGTGTTAACATAGGAGTCAACTTTATTTTCCTTGATATGGATAACCAGTCAGCATCACTTATGAAATAAATACCCTTTCCCCTCTAAATTGAAACATCACTTTTGTCATGTATTATATTGAAGTCTATTCCTGAATTCTCTCTTGTTGCACTGATCTGTTTGTATATTCAAACATGTAGTGCACATTTGTTATTCTTTTTGACTATGCAGCATCTAAATTCCCTTCCTATTGAGAAAATCCCCACCTTACGATGCTATCCCTACCTTATGAGTCCATCCCTCGCAAAAGAAACTGAAAATGTCAGCCTTTCTCAGCTTCCCTTAAAGCTAGGATGTGGCAGCAGTCAGCTTCTAAAATGGGTCCCAGTAATCCGTGACTCCTGGTATTCACACCCGTGTCATCCCCTCTCATTGAGTAGGGTCGCTGCAGAAATGATGGTGTGTAATTTCCAAGGTTAGTCATGAGCTAGTTACTGTGGCTCCTGCTGTGTTTTCTTACTTGGATCACCACTCACTCTGGGGAAAGCCAGCTGCCATACCGTAAGCACACTCAAGTAGCCCTTTGGAAAGATCCACATGACGAGAAACTGAGACCTCCTGCCAACAGCTGTGTGAGTGAGCCATCGTGTAAGCACATCCTCCAGCCCAGTCAAGCCTTAGATGACTACAGCCCCTGAGAGACCCTGAACCAGGACCATTCAGCTAAGCGCTGACCTACACATACTGTGTGAGATGAGAAATGTTTGGTGTTTAACCTGCATAGTTTTGGGGTAATTTGTTACACAGCAATAGATAATAGATATTACATAGGGTAGGGCACCTGACCCAAGTTCTCCACTTATTTTATATTCATCGATAAGATTTTCCAGTTTTCTTCACATAGGGTCTATGTCTTTCTTGTCAAGTTTATTCCTAAGTATTTTATGGGTTTTGTCTCTAATATAAATGAAACATTAAAAATTTCCACTTCGGGCCAGCTGAGTGGCTCAGTTGGTTAAGAGCTCACTCAAAGGTTTGAGCTCTGAGCAACAGCGGTTCGAGTACGGCCCGAGCTGAGCTGCCGCTGAGCTGCCAACAGGTGGCAAGATGGCTCAGCTAAAAAAAAATAAATTAAAAAAAAAATTCCACTTCTTATGTGTTTTTGCAAGATTAGAGCAAGTCTACTGATGTTTATATATTTATCTTATAGTCAATAATTTACCAGATTCTCATATTTATTCTGTGTGTGTGTGTGCGTGTGTGTGTGTGTGTCTGCCCAAACTAGAGTCGCTCGGGTTTCTGGGATATACAGTCATTTTACCAGTAAAAAGGAATTTCAAAATAAAAGACTTCAACTTTTCTAAAATTAATGCCAATTACTTCATTTTCTTGTCATGCTGTCATACTCTCTTAAACAGTGAGGGACAATACTGAGAATAGCAGGTATCTCTGTTTCCTGATTACCTACTAAAACAGGTTTTAGTGTTTTGTTGTTCAGAATGAGCTACTTTTAGTTTGGTGGGTTCTTTCTTTCTTTCTTTCTTTTTTTTTTGGTTGAGGTGTAATTTACATATCAGAACATTCACTTTTTTAAATGTACAGTTTGATGAGTTTTAACCACCTCCAAAATCAAGATCAAGAGCATTTTCATCACCCAGAAAAAGTTCCCTCATACTGTTTTGCAGTCAGGCTTTCATATCTTTGCTTCAACTTAAATAAGATACATGTGGGGAGCATCTGAGATCTTACTCTCCAGCACATGTCTTCAGTTTGGCTCAAATAAACTGTTATAAAAAAAATTAAAAATTAAATAAATAAGATACATGTGCTTATGATGCAATTCCACTGTTAATATTTGTTCAAGCTCTGTATGAATAGAGACCATATCTATATTGTCTACCCCTACACTGCCAGCACCTTGTATAATACCTGGCTTATATCAGGTCTTCAACACTTAACTGAGTTCATAAATGAATGAATAAGGGAACCAATCAACCAACCAACAAATTCACCTTGGTGCTCAGCCCCATTCCATAAGGCTCCCTGATGCCATCTGCTTTCCTGCCTTTATCTCCCAGGTCTGCATTCTCCGGGACTCTTCACTGCTGGACAACACCTGTCTACCAGGTGAGCAATCCATTGCCCCGAATGGCATCCCTTTGCCTATCTGTTCTTTTTAATTCCAAGAAGAAGCCTAACAACAACAAAAACAACAAAGGTAGCTGTTTCCAATAATGTCCATGGACAGATAGTGTCAAAAGGGACAAACTAAAATGAGGAAGCAAAGGGAATCAGATGCAAAAGTAGGGAGCTTAATATCAATCTGCAGCGTGAGTTCTGAAGAAGCTAGACCAAGACGGAAACTGACGATAGATAATGGGTCAAAAGTCAGAAGAAGTGGAGACCACGGGGGAGAAACAGCAAGGTTGGGAACTGGGTGAGCTGCCCATTCTTTTTACAGGACACACAGCCAGGGATCCTTTCTTAAAGGGGCAGAGCTGAGCCAGACAACAGCCAGCCATCTTCTTCTGCTAGTCTACTGTCTTGTGTTCTGCCTGCTGCATACATTCCCACCATCACCTGAAGAAAAGTATACTCACAAACAGTGGATCTATTTTGGAGGGCACGTCTCATTCTCAGTTCCCTCCAGGTGCAGCGCCAACTGCCCACCACTAACCAGTTAAGATGGAATTTGCAGTTTCAGAACTGGTTGCTGACTTGTTCAGGGCTACAGACAAAAGGTGAAAAAGTTGAGCTATGAAATGCAGAAAAGTGAAGAAACTTTTTTCTAAAAACAAAAAATAAGAGTGAAAACACAAAAATGCAATTCTTTGGGATTTCTGAATGTAATTAACACCCTAGCATACTCTAAAAAAAAAAAATGTGCAAGCACAGAAGCATAAAAAAAGCTGCGTAAACTACCCTTTGCTTACTAATAACAAATGTAGGTAATTTGGGCAGATGTAAATAAGGCTCTACCACAATGGGTAAACTCCAACCACAAAAATAAGATTGGTAAACCTAAATAGGGGAAGTTATAAAAGATTATGATAAGCTATCACTGAAAAGCTTGTCTTCAGGAATTCGGATGATTATATGAAAACAAATTCAAAGTTTAATTTTCCTGGAGGAAGCAATAAGGAAGAGGGAGTGTTTTTGTTGGAAACAGGGTGCGAGTCAGGGTGAGGGATACATGAAGACTAGGTTAAAAAGACATAAAAAATGTCCATAGGCACAAGCCTAGTCTGAGGGACTTCCCTCATAGGAAAGACACCTGGTGCTTTATGAGTCTTTCTGATCGCTGACTGGGTATTTCTATGAAGTTACAAAGCACTCCCTCTTTCATTTGCAGCTCGACAGGTTTTGCTTTCAAATACCTGCAGGTGTATCCTCCTGCACTCGTTAATAAACTCAAAGTTTTTTCCTTTTCTGTGCTAGACCGAACTTGACGACCATGCTCTCCACCTAACTTACAGCAGGGACTTGAGGAACGCCGGGTCACCGCCTTTGAACTTTATGAGGAAGTCGAGGGCATCAAAGTAGCTTGCAATTTCCCTCAAGGAAAAAAAAAAAAAAAACCAATACCAAAACCCTCACTACCCTCTTCTGTAATCAGGAAGGCCTCGGGATTCCCGCAGCGGAATGCGCAGAGGGACCGAAGGGAAGGGTTAGGTTGCCCAAGTGACTCACGAGAAGCCTGATTTGGAAACGCGTGTTTCCAAGCCTGAGGAGGAACCCAGACTCAGAGAGACCGACCCCCCCATAACACAGGGCTGCCTTAGCCAAGGCATGGCGGCTTTTGGGGCCCGCTTCAAAGGCTGTGCACACTTCAGAGTGCTGGAATAGGTACAAAACGCTACTGCGACCAGAACGAAACGTCAATTCTAAAACACGCAGCGCAGAGTTCACGCAAAGGATTGCTGGGGAAACTTGGAAAAAAGGGTCAAACTATGTAACTGGTCAAAGACTACAATTCCCAGCATTCAATACATTGTACTCCCAAGTATGTTGCATGCCGGGAATTGAAGTTACACACCACCCCATCCCCATCTAAAAGCGCTCCGGAGATTTTCAAATACCTCTCACATATTTCTCTTTTCCTAGAAGTACTGCCAAATATAAAGCGGAGTCCTTTATATTCCGCACTTAAATCCTCCCAACGTGACTCCACGTGTAGCCAGGGTAAAGATGAAGAACGCGTTGCCATAGTTACCGTTCCCCCTGGTCACGGAATACATGCTCTCTAGGATCCGGAAGTGGTTTCACTGCGACCTCTCCGAAAAGAGGGCTGTGTTCTGGGCTGACGTTAATTGGACGGTTTCCCAAAGAGACCAAAGCTTCCCAGGCAAAGGGGCGGTCCCGCGTGACAGGGGCCCGCGGAGCCCTTTGATTGGAGAAAAGAAGCTACGATGACCAATCGGAAGGAGCCACGCTTCGGGCATCGGGCACCGCACCTGGACAGCTCCTATTGGTGGAATGCTGTCCCCCCCACGAGTCCCCATTGGTTACAGAAGGTGCGTGGTGCGGCACGATTGGTGAGTTCGTGTTTCCCGTCCCCTGCCCTCGAGATGTGGGGGTGAAAAGCGGCGCGACCTGCTAGGGGGCAGTGGGCGGACCGCGCGGCTTGAGGTCTAAGGATCTGAACCCAGGGGTGGCAGGGCGGAGGCAGCTCCTGCGATCAAAAGGGATTTTGAGAGCCTCACCAGCCGCGCGCCATGAGGGCCCTGTGGGTGCTGGGCCTCTGCTGCGTACTGCTGACCTTCGGTGAGTGATCTCGGAAGAGCGGGCTCCCCGGATGCCCCCCCCCCGCCTTCAAGCGCGGCCTCTTCTCGAAGGTTCTGGGGGCGTTGAGCCTGGGTGGGGGATAACGGCCTGCGCTGGGCGGAGGGGTCCATCGCCTTTCCTCGAAAGTGGCTCAGGGGCTTTCGTTTACTCTACTCTGGAAAGATAAAAGAACGGAATTATTTAAATCCCCTGCAGACCTGCTAGTATCTGCATCGGGAGGTCTCAGCTGCCCGAATGTGGGGCCTCTCTCGAGCTCTCGCTACCCCAAGAGTACTGTAGGTGCCCCGTCCGAAGGACTTACGCAGACGCCTCAACCTTTTGCCATCTGAGCTTGAGGACCCCCCCGGCCCCCCACGTCTTCCGACCCTTAGCGAACGCGCGTTTCCTTTCATAGGCTAATGTTGGTCTTGGGAGCGTGGGGCGCCTGGGTTACGGGAAAGGCAGTGTTAGCGTGTTGGATTCACTTTTGCGCCAGCTCCATAACATCATAAAAATCTCTTAATATGTCTTCCCCTTCTCCGTCCCCTGGACCCAATTTCAGTTCCCCTCGCCAAAGGTTGCACAAATCCTATTTGTATTCTGACCTGTGATATTGAAGGCCTAAGTTTTGACATGGTTAGTTTGGAGGCCTTGTCTTGGCCTGCGCGCAACACGTGTGAACGTAGAAGAGGCCTGATATCAGTTGCTAAATGTTATTTGTAAAGGATCCGAGGGTGGCACTTTAGAAGCGATGGCTGCCTCGGTATTTTAGAATCTACTGGGGAACCTTAGTATCTGGGCTTAAATAAGAACTACGCAGACTTGGGTTTATAACTGGTATTTAAACCAGTGGATCCATTCTCCCATCCCCACCTTCCATTTTTGCCAGCTGAATTTTGCTGCCCCTATCCTTGCCCTGTTTGAGTCTATTTCTTCTGAGAAGTACACGAAGCAACAATGATGTTTTTCGGTGTTAACTCTTCATTCAGGGTCGGTGCGAGCTGATGATGAAGTGGATGTGGATGGTACAGTGGAAGAGGATCTGGGTAAAAGTAGAGAAGGCTCAAGGACAGATGATGAAGTAGTACAGAGGTTTGTGTTCATTTGAAACTATACAGATAAGCTCTTGTGAACACTGTGGAATAGAGTGGCTTCATTTGTATCTCCAAAGGCCCTGATGAAATGTAACACCCCGAGTTTATAACCTTAAAAATGGTCATTCAAAATGTAGCAAGCATGTGCACACATAATAAGCATCTCCTAACTTGCCCCTAAGAATGGTCAACTTGATTGAATTCCTTTGAAAACTATTTTGATAACTGGATTGCAGAACACTAGCACTATCACCTTCCTAAAACCTTAGAAAAGACTTTCAGTTGGCTTCGTACTCAGTAAGTGTGTACACTTAGTAATTTAAAAAAGGAGGATTTCTGTTAGTTGAGCAATGTTTTAAAATTTGGCCTCTTAGGACTTAACAGACTGTTTTGTAGACCCTTTGAGGCCAAAGCTTCCAGTCAAAGGGGCAGTTCATGTATGGGGGAACATAAATGAGAATTCCTTTGCTTTTTAGTAGAGGAAAGTTGGGTTTATTTTTCTGACAATTTTAGGAACCAAGTAATTCCATCTTGGTGTCCTACTACTGTGGTAAAATAATAATGAGCTGGTAGATGAGTAATATTTTATAAAGGTCTCCATTTTACCCTTTTAAACTCTAAAGACAATCTTAAGAGATCCCTGTGCTCTCATCACAGATCATATATATTTGGAGGAAACTAAGCAATGCAGTATTTGTTTATCAAATTTATTTCCTTAGAGAGGAAGAGGCTATTCAATTGGATGGACTAAATGCATCCCAAATAAGAGAACTCAGAGAGAAATCAGAAAAGTTTGCCTTCCAAGCTGAAGTAAACAGAATGATGAAACTTATCATCAATTCATTGTATAAAAATAAAGAGGTAAGCAAATAATATTTTATCTATGGTAGCATGCTTATTTACTTTCATAGTAAATGTACTTATGTGGTAGTTCCAAGTAAGTAGTTAGCCAGGTTTAAATACCCAGTACTACATGTACAAGAATTGCTATTAGATATCGTGTGTGTGTGTGTGTGTGTGTGTGTGTGTGTGTGTGTGTGTGTGTGTGTGTTGGGGTGAGTCAGGGATTTTTGGACATTTTCCCTTTCCCCTCCAAATGTGTTGATGGCCTGCCAAATACTGTGAGGTTAAGGGCCATTGCAGGAGGAAGCCTCATGTATTGCATACCTAGAGATCACTGTTAGGAGAATAAATAGAGTGAAACTACCTTTGCCAGTTCAGGTATCCCTTAGAGTTGCTGCAGTCCTCTGTAAGGAGCTGTACCTCCTTTTACCAAGAGAGTAAAGCCACCTCCGCACTATAAGCAGTCATTTGTTAACGAGTGCGGTTTCAGAGTACAGAGGAGAAATGAGTTTGATATTAAATGTAATGTCTTGTGTACCTTGAAGCTAACCTAAGTGTGTATTAAATCTGGCTTCCATTTAGATTTTCCTGAGAGAACTGATTTCAAATGCTTCTGACGCTTTAGATAAGATAAGGCTAATATCACTGACTGATGAAAATGCTCTCTCTGGCAATGAGGAACTAACGGTCAAAATTAAGGTAAGCTTAAATCAGTTTTCTTTATTTATAATAAAAAGAATCCTTGGAGTAGAGAAGCTGTATTAGTCAAGGTAGACTAGGTTATGCTGCAGTAACAAATAACCTCCAAGTCTCAGGGGCTTACATCAGGGGTCAGCAAAATATCACCTGTGGGCCAAATCCAATCTGCTGCCTGTTTCTGTAAATAAAGTTGTATTGGAACACTTCATGCCTGCTTGTGTATTATCTAGAACTGCTTTTGTGCTACAAGGCAGAGTTCAGTAGTTGTGACAGAGACCATATCGCCCACAAAGTCTAAAATATTTACTCTCTGGCCCTTTTATAAAACAAGTTTGCCACCCCTGGTTTAAATCATCCGTCAGGCTGTCAGTGGCCTTTGCTTTGTATCATCCTCACTCCAGGACACAGGCTGACGGAGCAGCCACCATCTGGAGTGTATGTAGCTGGTTGCCATGGTGTAGAGAGAGCTTGGAGGGTCTTACATCAATTAAAGGCTCCACCCTGAAAGCCACCCTCCTCCCACTTGTAACTCATTGGCCAGAACTAGTCGTATGGCCTTACCCCAACCATAAATGGAGGAAGTCTATTCCTGTTATAATTCTAGATGGCGGAAAGCCAGGAATGTTCAGTGAAGAACACTGACCACCACAGGTCCCAAACACAGAAGAGAGTCAAGTTTTGAATTCTTTTGTTTTCTATTAAAGAAATAGACAAAACATAAAATTTTATTTTTCTTGAATATTTTCTTCAAAAATAACTTACTTTGTTTAGCCTATCTCTGTCCTTTGACATTTAGACCAGTCTCTGCTGTCTTTTACATTGATTCTTTCTCACATAAACTGAACTTAAAATTATTCTCTATAAAGGAAGTTGCTTCTACTTAAGATGTGCACTTTCTTAAAAGGCCATAACATACGATATGGAGGAAAATATCTCAATTTAGTTTTCTGTATTAGAATTGCGGTAGCCCAATGCTGGTAGTTTCTCAATATATATAGCTCAGTATTTACTTGTCATACTGTGAGTATAAGCAAATGTAACAATCTTGTTTTTGTCTTGCTTTTAAGTGTGACAAGGAGAAGAATCTGCTACATGTCACAGACACTGGCATAGGAATGACCCGGGAAGAGTTGGTTAAAAACCTTGGTACCATTGCCAAATCTGGGACAAGCGAGTTTTTAAACAAAATGACTGAGGCACAGGAAGAGGGACAGTCAACTTCTGAATTGATTGGCCAGTTCGGTGTCGGTTTCTATTCTGCCTTCCTTGTAGCAGATAAGGTGATTGTCACGTCAAAACACAACAACGATACCCAGCACATCTGGGAGTCGGACTCCAATGAATTTTCTGTAATTGCTGACCCACGAGGAGACACCCTAGGACGGGGAACAACAATTACGTGAGTGTTACTAATTCCTAATAAGAATTAATAGTCAGATCTTGATTCTCCAGTTTGGGCTCTCTGAGCAAACAGCTAGCTTATTCTGGGCCTTAATTTCCTTGCCTATAAAATGAGG